AGAAATGAATCGATGGCAGAAAGCTGCTCCTCCCACCACCACCCTCCTGCTGTTGGTGTATTTTGAACCATATTCTGTGTGACGTGGTGTGCCTGGTTAATTTTATTTTTTTCCCCCTTGAGGGAGAGCCTTTGTTAGAATAATGAAGATGGAGGAGGGCAGTTCTTGTAGTGGCTGTGAAGCAGAGGGAAATGATGCAGTGGCAGTGCAATCACTGAAATTAAGTTCTTGCATAACAGCACTGATATTATAGCGTGGCTTTCTCTATAATCTCTTCTTTGACCAACCTTATGCTGCTGGCCTGGCCACCAGGCATGCATAATCACATGCAAATGCAGTGTGTTATGGCAAAGTCAGATGAACTCAGTGTTCTGGGACAAAGATTTCTGTTCACACTAGTTGTAAGTTTAATAGAAATTTACTGTGCCTTCATGTGCTGTTGGACTTTTAATAATTATTATTCCATACTTGCATTACTTAAATACTTGCTCTTAGGTAGCATTTCGATAGGGAAGGAGCATTTGAGAAGTAGGCAAACAACTTTAAAGCCTTTGTGTATGTAACTCTCCTGAGCCAGAGGAAGTGACCATTAGTGGTGTGATAGAATAAGTGAATGATACACCCTCCCAACAAATATATTAATATCTGCTGCAGATGGTATCAAGTTAAGACAAAGAACTAGCAATTTGAAGTGCTTCTGTTAAAAAATAAAACTCAGAAAACTAAATTGCATTGATTAAACATGTTTTTCTTGATATCTTTGAGTAGGTCTTATTTTTAAAGTGTATTTATTGGAATAGCTGTTCTGAGTCTCAAAGGGCTGAGTATGGTTGTTTAGGTTGGTAGTTTCAAAAAAATGTCACAGAGCTGTATTTTGAGACTTGGCAATAGAGAATACTCCCCAACATGAATTTCTTATCTGACACAAAACCAGTGCAGATCTTTAGTCCCTTTAGCGTTTTGGTTTTTAAAGAAAAAAAAAAGTATTTATGCAGTGAAATCTATAATACTTTAAATACTCTGCTTTTTTGTTCTGTTTTGTTTCCTATCTATTATTTTTGAAAGGCAGTTTAGTTTTTTGTTGACAAGTCAGGTTGTTCATTTTTTTTTTTCTAAGTGGGCTAACCTGAAACTGGAGAGAACTTTCAAAATGAAACTTAGATATTGATTGATTAAAAAATGAAGATAGAAAATACAGAGAAATAGAAATGCAATTACAAGGCAAACTGTCTTTTACTTACTAACTAGCTAAAGAATAAAAACTATGTTTTACAATATGCATCAGCTTCTTTACATGTTTCGTCTTTTGATGAGTAACAATGGTAAACGACCACCTTTATGCTGGCCAGGAGCATCATTTTACTGACAGTGAGTGTTCATCTGTGATTCCGTCCAGCAAGAAAGTCCCATTGTTCATATGAAAGACTAAATATTTGAGAGAAGTTATCCTCTGTTAAACACTTCCATGTAGTATTGCTTGGCAAAGGGATGTTAAAGTGGCCTTCTTTCCCACCATTTGCTTTTACTTTTCCTGCTTCCTAAGTCTACTCATACAAAATTCATTAGCCCAGTCAGACTCTTGACATTCCATCTTTCTCTCTTTTGTGTAAATTGTATGCTCTACCATGCTGGTCTGGTCTGAGCTAGGCACTGGAGTTGCTAATTGTAGTTCCTCAGTAATGCACTTATGATCCTCTTTAATTTTAAAAGGTAGTTTCCTGGGTCATAATTGTTTTCTGCTTAAAGCTACATTAATAACAAGAATTAACAAACTAGTTAAATAGTTCTTGGTACTCAGAGTAGGAACGAATTGTTAGAAATTCATGTAATCTTCTTTTTGAAAATATGTTATAATTCCTAATTCTATGTCAACCATGTGGTATTTATTGTCTAATATACTGGAGAGCTGAATGGCTTAATACTTTACCTGTTGACAAGATATTCCCCCCCCCAACACTTCCCTATCACCCCACCCCACTTTACTGGTTGTTTTGTGGGCTTTTTGTTTTACATCACATTCTGCAGTTACTGCACTGGCTTTATTTAATTCAGTAACATCCATTCATCTGTTTTCTTAAGACCTGTAGAATTATAACATATGCCTTATGCATGATTTCATTTTCTTGCATGTGATTTTGAGGAAGGAAATCTGTGCTAAACTTAGTTCTTACTCCATTTGAATGTTGTCTTATACAGTGCAACAATTTAATATTACCTCGGTTCTCTTTAGCTTAGAGTACTTTGGAATTTCTTCTGAGAGAAAGAGCTGTCGAAGAATGTGTGTATTTTATTCATCCCTTTCATGCTTGTTCTCTGTGATTTATTTTTTTTAACTCATGTCTCTACAAACATGGTATCAGTCTGTAAAACGTGAAGCAACATTGTAGTCTAAGTCCCTTCAGCAGAAGATAAAGAGGATGACTAAAAACAAGCATCCTTCTCTGGCAGGGTGGGCAACAGTATCACCAACTTGCCCTGGAAGAGCCTGGGAGCTGACACATCTCAAGGTCCATGGCCTAGCTGCCCCAGCTGTAGAAAAATAAATGTGGCCCCTTTGTGGATGCTCTTATGTAGCTGGGTTTTAGCTTGATTTTTTTTTTCCCATTTCAACCAAATACTTCAGTTCATTTAGTTGCAGGTTGGAAATAATTATTTTCAGAAAATGTTGCCGTACAAATATGTAACTCCATCAGCACATTTCAGTGACAGAGAAACAATAAGGGATTTCCAAGAGCACTTACTATATGTAGGTGATTTTTTTTCAGACTGCCAGGGGAAAGATGTAGGCCTTGTTTTTTGCCCTTCACAGAGACAATTTAAATAATTAGAAGTGTGTGACTGAGTTCACATGTTCTTCACACATACTGGGTGACTTCACTTACTCCTGATGCTTGACAGACAAACATTATATCTTTTAAGTGCATTGTATATATTGAGTAATAGCAGCATAGAGAAGGGAAAGTCAAAACTGGCCTTATATCTCTATTCAGTATGTTTGACTCTTTACAGAGTTGGTATCACTGAGTCTGTTGCCATCTCCATTCTGCCATTTGCTTGTTGCAATTACAGGCATTTTATCAATGAGATAGATCTCAGTGGTTCTTAAATATTGTTACCTACAGGCAACAATAGGGGAAAATAAAAGATTAATTCTTAAGAAAAAGTAAAATCTGTTTGCTGTATGGACAGAAATTCAATGCTTATCTGAAACAAAAAAGGGCATCTTCTCAAATCAGTTCAGAGTCTAGGTGAGAAGATAAGTAACAAGAAATGCCAAGTTACAAAAAAGCAGTTATTTTGTTGAAAGCAGTTGATGGTAGTTTCAAAATAATGCAAAGTTTTTACAGAGCATGGGAGTGTCAAGGGAGACACCTCTTCATCTTTCTTTGTCTTTAAATTATGAGTAAAAATTTTATATTTTTAAGTCACATTTCTCTCCTCAGAAAGACAGTAAGTAATAAATGTAACAGAAAAAATAACCCAAACAGAAGATGTTACTGAGTGCAGTGAGGCATATGGTGAGAATGCATTTCAACAAGAAATGATTTACAATGCATATATTATAGCATGGTGTGATGTCAGGCATTAATGTGTCATACGTGCCTGGTTTTCGTTTGTCCCATGGTGTGGGAATGGTGTAAGTGGTATCTGACACCTTTGTGTCAATAATTCAATCATCAGAAAGCCTTTATATTTGCAAAATGTGGTGATTTTGAGGATTTTACCCTCAAAGAACTATCCCAAGCATATTAATGTATTCTTTGAGGTCATACAATGATTTATAATATTTGATCTTGGATTTCCCTTCACTGTTTCTTGGCTCTGTGTTTTAGACAACATTATCCTTATTTAGCTGGATTGGGCCAGATTAATTTTTATGCAGAGCTTTCTTTATATTACAGAGAGAATTGATAAAACCTTGTAAAATTTTTCCGGAGTGAATTGTATTCTGGAAGCACTTCTGGTGTGTATTGGTCAAGTGAATCCTTTTGGTAACTGTTATTTTTAGTTATTTTCTGTGTTTTTTAAATATGTGGAGGAGCAGCAAAGGAGAGGATATACCATCTTGTTCCTCTTCTCTTTGCTTTGATTCAGTAATAAATCTTTAATTATGAATTGCCTTGAATTGGCATCACTCTGTTATCATTCTCTTTGACAAACAAGAAGACAAAACAGCTGTGATCTGAAGAAATAATCTTTTTAAACTGAAGTACTGTTTTTTCCAGTGTTATAGTTGCTGCTGAGAATTATTGATGAGCTTACACCACTAAACACCAGTGAACATAACAGAAGTCATCAAGCGCTTTATAACTGTAGAAATGTTTTTTTGCCTGATAAGCATGTTGAAGCCATATGGCAGCTTGAGTAACTCACATTTAAAAGTCTTGGGAAAAAACAACTGAGCACATACATACTGAGTTTTGGACCTCTACTTGTGGGACTGGCCAGTCATTCCTGTCACCAGCCAGTAGTGCTGTTCCCTTGAGCTTTTCATGTCTATGGCTCTAGCTTCTGGTGCTACTGAGGCTTTCGAGTGTCTGACAGATTTCTTGGTTTTAGGGCTGTTCTTCAAACTGGAGCACAGAAACGGAAGTTCTGCAGTTCCAGGCTGAAGAACAGGTTGGAGCTTTCTCACTTGAAGGCTTCTCTGCTCTGAGTTGGTTTGTAGTGGGTTTGGCCAGTGAGGGCCAATTGTTGGGCAGTGAGCTGCTGACTCCTTCCCTCTTGCTTGCTTACTTTTCCAAGTTGTTTTCTGTTATCAGCGCACACACGCCCATGTTTCGAGCAGAAGTAAATGCATTTTGAAAAGTGTGTTCTGAGAAGGGCCTTTGTGTTGCTTTCAGGTTCTCAAGGCTTTTTTAACTCAAAAAGTGCATGAAGACATTTCTTCCTCCTTCCCTTTCTTTAGGGCACGTATTGCTGTTGCAGGTGATTGTTAATTTTGGGGGGGGTTTGTTGGTTTTCCTGTTTATGTGTGACTAGATAATATGATTAATTTCCAACCTTGCTGTATGACTATTTTATTTATACTTTTTTGTAGCATAATTTCCATTTCTTTTAACAGAACAAGTTGAGTCTTTGTGGAAGGCTCCTGGAAAGATTTCTAAACTGCAGGGTAAAAATAAGCAAGAACAGATACTGAGAATTTCTTGGCTAAATCCACAGGATAGCTGAAAGTTTTAATGAGAAATTTTTGTGCCTCCAGTAATCATGGTTGCTGATGGTACAAAATTTCTTCTTAAGAAATTGCCATTAATGTCTTTGACTCAGTGGCTGAAACCTCATCAGATTTGTTGTCTCATTGCTTGGTATGGTGCTCCAGTAGGAAACAGCAACTGCTTCCGCTATTCTGAAAGTGTTAATTGACTCCATAAATATACATTGAATTCAGTTAAGTATAATTGGCAACATTATTGAGTTTTATGTGGACTTTTTTCACTGAGAAATTTCAGTGTTTGGTATTTTAATTCTTTATTTAGCTTTTGCTGTATTGTTTGATTCACAGAATTACAGAGTTGTTACAGTTGGAAGGGACCTCTGGAGATCATCTAGTCCAACCCAAAAATGCTTAAAAGCTCACTGATGAAGTGTATCTGTAAAAGTTACGCTACGCAAAAATTGGTAATGAAGAATCTTAAGCAGACCATGATTGTGAGAATTAAAAGAACACTTAAGACTGAAGGAACATTACTAACAGTCTCTTCATATAGAAGTTTGTTAATGGTAAATAAAATCCTCTTCAGCAGAACTATGGAGATTTTGTTTGCTCTTAGTTTATTAGCATAGGGGGCAGCAGGTTGGTTTGAGACTAAGCAGGGAAGCAGAGTTGGGAACACTACTTGAATTGCTCCTTCCCAGTCCCTGAACAGAAACAAATTTTTCATAAGGGTAGAATATTTTCTTTTGCCAAGTGATATTTGCATCTAATTGCAGAAGATTGAATAAAGTGTTTCCTTGTTTGTTGCCTCTTTGCTACTTGGCCTGTGACCTCCTAAGCCTCAGAATGGCAGCAAGTAGCAGTTTAAAAATTGTTAATAACAAGTTTTAAGTCAGTTTCATTTGCGAAGCATTACTGAGGTAATGTGGTTTATGGTCATGTAAAAAGAATTTCAGAATTGTTTCTGCTTGACACTTGGATAGTAAATTTGCTTTCTTCTTTGAGTTTCATTGCCTTTGAACATGACATAGCTATGCTGAATTTTTTTGTGAACTGTACTGACTAGAGAGCCACTAGATTCTGTTTAGAGCAAAGGTGAGGTTGACAATGAAGAAAGCATGGATTTGGAAAACAATGTGACCTTTTGTGAAGTAGTTGTGTCACTGAGATGGTTTAGATGATACTGAAAACAAAGAAATGAAAAGAAGGCTTTCCTGTTTTCTGGAGTATACTGGTGTATATTTGCTGTGATAGTGACCACATCTTTCCATGTTAGAGGTGGTAGTGACTTGTGTGACATCCTGCTGAGCATAAGTCAAGGCTGAATAGAGAAGTACTGGTCTGGGTGATACAAAATCCCATTTCTGCAATCCTCTCTCAGCTCCCTGTGTTGCATAAAGGCTCTATTTTCTGACCAAGCTCTGTTTTATTTTTAGGAGTATAGCCTTGTGTTTAAAATGGAAGTTGACATAAATGGAGAGTCCAGAACTGCCCTGTCCACTCTCCCTGTGCCTCTTGCAGAGGTGGGCTCTGCAGGCAGGACGGAAGCTGAAAAGCCCCGCTGTTCCAGTACCCCCTGCTCGCCCATGCGGCGGACAGTTGCAGGATACCAGATTCTCCGCATGGATTCTACCTACCTGGTGGGCTTCACAACTGGAGAGGAGCTGCTGAAATTAGCCCAGAAATGTACGGGAGCTGAAGAGAGCAAACGAGAATCTGGGCCAAACTTGCGCTCCAAGCAGCTGGATCCAGGACTTGCACACTCCTCCCGTTTGTACAAAACCAGAAGTAGGTACTACCAGCCATATGAGATCCCAGCAGTAAATGGGAGGAGGAGGAGGCGGATGCCCAGCTCAGGGGATAAATGCAATAAAGCTTTACCATATGAACCTTACAAGGCACTTCATGGTCCCCTGCCTCTCTGCCTTTTGAAAAGTAAAAGGGCTCATTCAAAATCCCTGGACTACCTCAATTTAGACAAAATGAGCACCAAGGAACCTGCTGACACAGAAGTGCTACAATACCAGCTCCAACACCTCACCCTTAGAGGGGACCGTATGTTTGCAAGGAATAGCACATGAGCTGTCGTCTTCAACTTAGAAATGATTTCTCATCCTTTCTCTGTTGCTGCAAAAATCCACTGCTGTACTGTATACATGACTGTCCACATTGTAGGTGGTTGTATCAGCTAAATGTTACCAGAAAGTAATTTATTTGAATAGTCTTGGCAATGCAATGTGTTACAAATACTAGGAGGGAGAAATCTTTCCTGAGCAAGAAGCTTCTGATGCAAATTTGACTGCAATCAGTGGATATTTCTTTGGACGCTTTTTAAAAAGAAAAAAAAAAAGCTTTTGTTTGTTTTTTTTTTTTTTGGTACAGCTAGATCTACTATTTACGGTAATTTAACACTGAAAAATTGGTGATGTCTGCTTGGTTGTTGCTAATTTTGGCTTGATGTTAGAAACTGCTCTTGGATAAGTACTCAAGTTTAGGAAGTTCTTTGGTTTTACTTTTTGTTTCTGTATTCTATAGGAAAATGAATGGACAGCATGGAAAGTGACCGAGTAAATCACTTTCTATTTAAACAATCCAGTTCAAACGTTTTTAGACTGTGCTTGTGCTGGTGATGAGGGTGAGATTTGCTCATAAAGCAAACCTTTGCTACTTGAATCCTATTCAGTTATTTTTTTTTAATCTCTGCATGGAAGCAATTGCTTCACCTTTCCTATAAAACATGTTCAGAATAAGTATTTGGGTTCTTTAAAGCAAATCTTTTGAGGAGTGAAGATTTTTTTGTTATTGTTGATTTTATTTTTTACATTGTCTTGAGAGACAAACTGGAATGTCTGCACTGGTATGTTAGTAATGTTTTTGGTTTTAATTTATGATTTCTCTACCATATATAGTAGCAGGTGTCAAATCACTTCAGCATAGATTTGGAAATTCTGTTGACTTGAAGCACTGAACACTTGAGATCTGGAGGACTGATTTTATTTGACAGGGTGCAAGTGAAGTATTTCTGTATCAGCATTGAAGAGATGATCCTGGATTATTCAACAGAGTAGATTGAATACACCAGCTTACTTTTGTTACTTAATGAATTTTTACCCAAACATGACATCAATCGCAGGTTTTGACAGCTGTATTCCTAGATGTATTTGAAACATTTTAATAACTTATGTTTAAAAACAAAAACTAGTTTCCATACTTTTTTTTTTTAGAGGCAGTCTGTTACTGAAGGAGTGTGCAACTCGATTTTGGCTGATGACCTCTGCAGAAGTTAAAAGTAATGTCATGCTTGTTTTAAATGTAAATTATTTGATCGGTTGTTTCTGATAGAATTAAGATTTCTTTTGTTTGTTTGCCTATCGCTCAGAATGAATAGAAAGCACTAGTTAGTGCATGTGCTATGGAAAATGAAAAGTTCTAATTCTGTCACTCACTCCACAGTTTTAAATGAAGGCAGCCCAGTAGTGAGCATTTTGTGGTTGGGTTATCTTTTGTTTAGGTTTGTTAGAAATGTTACAAAAAAAAAAGTGTATTTTTGAAAGTTAACTACGCCTGTGTTTGTAACAAATGTGGATAGAGCCTTCCTAAATCTTCGTTCGCAAAGCCTAGCCATGATGACACCTGTGTAAATTTAATGTATTGAACAATGACCTTGAAAGTAAAGTCTTCCTATATAGTCTTTAGTTTGAAAAACAGAGTATGGTCAGATGCCAAAGAGATGGAGGTTTTGTTTGAGGAATAAACACCACTGTTTATTGAAATACCCAAGGAAAATGTATTTCTGGCTGAAAAATAAAAAAGGTGGTATAAACAGCTATTGTTGTGGAGTCTTTTGCTATGCAGGAGAAAGTGGATGTTTAAAAAAATACAACTTTAGACCAAGGAATATTTAAAAACAACTTGAAAGGAGGGATCCTGAACTTCTGTGAAATAGATGCTTAGGTTTGTTACTTTGTTTCAGGAAATGTGCCATGCATTTACTAGTACTTTGTGCTTGTTTCTGATGTCCAGTGCTGTAGTTGTATGGCTACACTAAGGGAGAGGTTGATGGCTTTCTGGCTGAGTTCAAACGTAAAAAATGTGTTAGTATTTTATCTGTTTTGGTGATTTGCTAATGAGTGTGCTCAGACATGGTTATGTTTGCTTAACCCATACACACAGGCAGCTCTCATAATGTGGGAAATACTACCAATACTACCTATAATAGAGACTAAGCAGAGAATTGTTAGTGGATTACTTAATTGTTTTTTCTAACGTTCAATGGTACCAAAGAATCAGAAGCAATTATCCAACATAATCAATTTTTAAATGTTTTATAGCGTGGTCTGGGTGAAGTCAGTTGTTAACGTCTCCTTAAGGTGTGCTAAAGAGAAACTAGAAGAAAATAATCTTCAGTTAGAATATAGGCAGTAAAAACTAGAAAAAATGCTTTGGAGAAGACGTATAGTGGAGCTATATAACAGCTACATAACGGCTTGGAAATACAAGTTGTTATAAACTGCTGTAAGAAAAATGCAGATCCAAAACTGAAAAATGTAGATTTATTACAATGCTAATAACTTTAAAGACAATGTCAAGCTTGGAAACCAGCAGTAAAAGAGCACATTTCTTTGCTTGTTGTCTGAGCATTTAGTAAGTACAGTTTTATTGATGTTTCTTTCTGGGGACTGAGTTTTTGCATGAATAGTTTTCTGTGCTTTGATCTGTTAATTGTAACATCAGTTTCCATGATGTGTGATTACACTGAACACTGTAAGAGTGGCACAAAATTGTCTGTTAGACAGACCTTCAGAAGAACACAATAATTTTTGGATTATTGATTTTTTTTCTTTCCTCCCCCCTCCCCCCCGTGTCATAGTACATTTTTTTAGCCAGAGGTTAATGTGAACTTTCCAAGTCCTTGAAAACCTTAAGACAGATTACATGGAGGGGGGCTTCCCTAGGTATTTTGCTAGTGAAATTCTTTATTACATCACCAAGGCACTCAGGGAAGGTCAAACTATCTTCAGGTCTACAGAATATGGAAAACTTCCCTTCTTGGAATGAACAAGGGGGATCTGTAGTGGTCTGCAGTACTTGTTTCTGATCTCGTAAAAGCTAGGTATCATTGTTAAATATATGATTTTTAAACACAGAACTTACATGAGCTGTAAGGTGCTCCTTAGGTGTTTTCTTCTGGCTCTTAAGCACGTGTGCAACTTGAAAGAGTGTAGGTTGTTACAAGATGCTGGTAACTGACCTACAAAGCATCTCAGACTTGTTAAAAAAAAAAAGGAAATCAACAAGATAAGAGTCTCTCTCGCATCTCAGGAATCATTATTGAGCAGTTTTTCTGCCTTTTTTTCTTGTATCACATCATGATGAATTCCATCAACCAACAACTATTTCAGCACAAGAATCATTCATAGTGTTGCTGCTCCTGGTTGCTGCATTTGGCTGCTCCTGGATGGCAGCAGTTCAAATTCAATGCTGCTGCTCCTGTGGTGTAAGTGCCAAAGCTAATCCTGTGCATTTTTGTGGGATGGCTCAAGGGAGGGAGCATCACCCTACTGCTTGAATACCCAGTCCATCTTACATCCTCCTTAACTTACTCTTAGCTTTAGTGGTTGGTTGGTAGGGGATGATATTGGGTCAAACCTACAGAGGAACTATCTAGGCCACATTAGAAGAGCTGAGGAAAGAAGGCTTGTTTTTCTGTGGGGAAAAACCCAGACTCAGTTGGATTGCACTGAAAGCAAAAGAGAAAGTGAGGATATTAACTGACCACATTCCATCCATTTTTAGGAGACAAGTTCTCTCACCCTGCATATGCTTGATCTTGCCTATCAAAGAATTGGTCTGCAGTAAGAAGAGGGAGAGGACAAGGAAAGAGAACTTTTCACTGTGCTTTTATTTCTGTGAAGCATGGAAGGGCAGAAGGAATTCAAAATATATCAGGGGAAAGTCTGGAGAAATAAATGGAAAACCTCAGATAGACAGTGCTGCAAGAGTAGGAGTAGTGAAATAGTGTGTGACTTTAGTGTCAAAATAAGCAAAGACATGGAAGAAAATGATGTGCTGGTCTCAGATCTCTCTAGAAAGCAATTGACTGGTTTTGTGCCTGATTAAGTAGGGTGATAGGAGGTTTTAGCAAAATGCAGAGATACCAGCTGGGCTGCAGTGAAGATAGGAAGCCGGAGCTTGAGGCTGTGTGTGTACACTTTCACACTAACAAGCTTAAATGAAATTTAGGTGACAGTTCTGAAGGAATAAAATAATTTTATTCCATTTAAGTATGGTCTAAATCCAAATCCTGTGGTGTTTCTATGATGTTGGGCAGCTCTACACAGTGTTTAGAGGTAGATGGTGCAATGTCATAGTCTGAAAAGCTTCCTGAAAAGGAGGAAAACTTTTGTCTGATAAGTTCCTTTATTATTAATTTCAGTTTAAAAAGAAGAAAAACTTTCAAGCTTCTCTATGTATTCTGGTATAAATACCAACTATGAAGTCTGGTAGGATTATTAGGATTATTGTTCCATTTCATTTTGTGAGACTCTCACCTGCTGGAGCTCCTGGTGACCTCTTCTTTCTGTGGTGGTGAAGGAGACACAAGTGCTAAAATATGCAGGAACTTTGAGAACAGTATTGACAGCTTGAACCTTATGAAAAAATGGAGTAAGCCATGATTTGCTGCAGTGCTTTGCATTAAACTATTTTTCAGAAACTCAAAAAGCGTTCAAAAAAAGCGTTAGGTACTGGGATGCCTTTCGAATTCTATTTCAGGCCAGAAATGTTGCAGCCACAGAGCTCCATGGTATGAACTGTAGTCTGCAAATGGAGAAAAGTAGAAAGAGAGAGATGATGTCGTTGTGCACTGGAATATCAGGTGACAGAACACCAGCATTTCATGCTAGGAGACAGAGTGAAAGAAGAATGCATTAAATGCCAATTCATTTGTTTCTGCTTTAGCTCAGGGATTTAAAGTTTTGAATGTTAATTGGGGCAAACATCTTCCAATTTTAATGAAGAAAATTTGAAAGATATCCAGAATAATAGCTGCAGCTCCAAGCAAGTTGCTGCATGCAAGATTTCTACCTATCCATCTGTAATAACACTTTCTATAGAATTTAAATATTTTTAATTTTTAACAGCCTTTCAGTGTTCAGCTGATATATTTTCAGAGTTAATTTTGGTAAAGAGTTAGAAAAAAACAGTATTGGAGGAAGAAATACTGGTGGGGGGTGTCAGTTACAATGGCAGATAAACCATGTACAGAGTGACAGTCCTATTGATTTACTAACTTTGAAGTAGAACTACAAAACAAGAAAAAAAAAATCATCA